TTGGTGATAGGGGTAATTAAGAAGTAAATTTGGCTTTTCTACATTTGAAGTGCCTATCCACATGCATAAAAAGTTATTGAGTTGAGAGTGGTATGTATAAACCTGGGAAATTCATCCATTTTGTTATACAAATAATTCAAGTAAATAAACTTGCATGTTTCCGTCCATCCCAGTCACTTGTGGATGTAAACACTAAGGGCTGGTTAGAGACGGGTGTCACCTCTCAGTGTCAGCAGTTTGGACTCTTGTTTTGAAGGGAGCTATGTGCTGCATGATTTCTGTCTCTAAAAGTCAAGAGAACTTGAATGGACACATAAGGGTCAAATATCACCTTAAGAAGCCACTCCAAATCAGGAGGCAATTGCAACATTCTGAAAACATTTACTGAATTGGACATCATGAGATGTGGCTCTGGATCCAAACCTGCCCTTTCTAGATGAGTGTAATCTGGAGTATAATCTCAGATTCACATTTTTGTGCATTTTATGGTGAATTCTTAACAGCATTTTTTCCCCTTCTCCCTTTAGGGAACTTTTGGAATTTGTTTTTGTTTTTGCCTAATTGGGGAATGCTGGCTAATATAGTTCCTGCAAAGTCTTGCACAAGATTACCCCATATTTCAAACTGATTTTGGAACTCACTGGGTGTGTATTTGTAGTTACAAAGCCTGAAGAGGCCCTACACGTTACTACTGGGGGGATGGTGATTTTGTGTGTGTGTGTGTGTGTGTGTGTGTGCACATGCATGTACTCTATTGACATATGCCCATGTATTCATGCAGATAGAGTATTATAAAATACTTGCTATTACCAGGGAGCCTTGTATCAAATTGTATCACTGACCTGTGATATTTTGATAGGTGCCATTAGGGAGAACAATGGGCCCAGGATATATTCCTAGAGGGACTCACATTTATACTTTTTATATCATCTCCAAACAAGATTGTACATGTGGTCAGAGTCACAATGATAGGAGTGAAAGATGCCTGTCTTAAAACTGAGTTTGTAGTTCTCTCTACCTCAAGGGATTTTGAATTCCTATTTTTATGATAAAACCCATAATTACCTTGTAAATAAATGTGCGATATTGCATTGTATTTGTTTGCTTTAAAATTTTTGTTTGTATGAACACTTAAAATAAATGAGAGTTTTTCCAATATTTCTTCATAAAAAAAAAGAAACCACTGGTAGGAAAACGGAAAAACTATCAGAGGCCGTAGCGCTCGACCTCTGAAAGGCCTCTGACAAGACCTGCCTCAAAGATTGTTCTGAGAATTAATTAAGCCTGAATATTTAAATTAAACTCTAATGCTCTACCATATGCTGGCAATTTCTGAAAATCTTGGGCAACTGAAAGTGCAGAGGCTGGATTTCTTTTATAAAATTATTATTATCATTAGGGCTGGGGTTGTGGCTCAGTGGTAGAGCACTTGCCTCGCATGCATGAGTCATTGGGTTCGATCCTCAGCACCACATAAAAATAAATAAAATAAAATAAAGATATTGTGTCCATCTACAACTAAAAATATATTTTTTTAAAATTGATATATAACAATTGTACATATTTATAAGGTATAATGTGACACATCAGTACATTTGATACATGTGGTCAGTGTAGAGGCGGATTTCTATAAAAATGTTTTGGCTTGATACAGCAAAGCTAAGATCTATTTTCAATTCTCTGCTGCACTTGGGCTGTAGTGGAGGCAACAGGGACAGTGCTCAACTTGGCCTTCCCATACGACCACCCAGCATGGTGGCTTGGCCACACTGGGCTATCACTTAATGTCCAGGGAACTGATGTAAGATATTGGCAAAGACAATTTATTAATAAAACACAATCAACCTTATGTTGAACTGTTACTGAAAACAATAGCTAATGGACTTTAAAAAAATAAAATGATACAAGTCATCAAGACTCTCTCTAGGTTAGAGCATATTAGAAATGATAAGTAGCATTATATGTGATACACAGGCATGGAGAATCAGAAGATTTAACTGAGTAGAAAGAGAGAGGTAGTTAAGGATAACAGCTGCAGGTAGGGCCACCTGAAAGGAGGAAACAGAAGAACAAGCTTGTTCATCCGTCCTCACCTCCTGGGATGAAACCTGTGGAGGTGGAGAAGGGGTTTATCACCCAGCACAGGCCCCTGGGTGTGTTGGGGCATGCCTTTCAGACAGATTACTACTGCATTGCTTTCACAGTACAAATCTTGGTCACCAGGGGCTCCTTTCTGGAGCTGGCAACCACAGTCGTGAAAGCAGTCCCTCGGGGCAGATGGGCAGTGCTCCAGGACCGTGGGGGACCCAGGGACATCCATTCCTGTTATTAAAAACACTGTACAAGAGGCAAACTTAATGGAAAATTAATTATGTATTTAATACTGTTTGAAAAAAAATCCCAAGGAAAGGACCTCATGAACCTTTATTCACAGAGATGGGCATTAATTTCATGGATTTAGTGAAAGTTTGAAGTATACATATTACCAGTCTGTGAAAGGTCAGTGGTAAGAATGTTTCCTTTTTATTGTTTGGAACAGTTGTTTGTCGCAGATGCTTTTCTGCTTAGTCTCCTGGTGGATTGATAGATGGACAGCAAGAGACTGGCCACACGATGGCTGTGGCCCTCTAGCGGCCTGTGCTGCCTCGCTAGGCTCTGGCCAGCTGGCTTCATGGTCTCACTGTGACCCTGTCTGTTGGCTTCTTTTGTCTTTCCCTTCCCTCCTGTACTTTTTTTTTTTTTTTTTTTTTTTGCCCAAGAGGACAGATTTGGTTATTGTATTAATCATGTCTTTTTATTCTCAATTATTTATGTATTTTTAATCAACAAATGATAATTTTATATATTTGTGGGATATACTTGCAGTGTTTTGTCTAGAATGTCTAGAATGTGGCCTGATTAAAGCAAGCTAATTAGTATATCCATTTCCTCACTTAAGGGTCATTTTTCGTGGGGAGATGGGCTGGGTGGACTCTGGCCAGGGAGCCAAGCTCGGCAACCCTGGGGCCCATGTAGCATGAAGTGGCAGCTGGTTTCTTTGGTGTGATTCCTCCATTGACCAGAACACACAGCCGCAGCCAAGACTGCTGGGAGCCTTGCCCTTGCTCTTTCTGAGCCCTGGTAGTGCCCTCCCTCCCCGGGGACAGACAGGTGGCAGCCTCCTGTGAAAGGCTGGAGCGATGCAGAAGCCGAAGGTCCACCTGCATTTCCTTGGTCCATGGAGAAGCCAGTTCTCCGTGGCAGTGTGCGCTTGCGGGATGGGTGGCAAGCCCAAAGGGAACTGTTCTCTCAGCAACTGGTCAGAGCTTCCCTTGGTTCTGCGGTCCAGGGGGTGTGTCAGCCTCACCGTTGAATTCTGGGCTATTCGGGATGCTATTCTTTCTTGTGGTTGTTGGGTGGTGAGTTTCTGTCGCGGGGAGTGGAACTGGAGAGTGGTTATTTTGCCACCTTGCTGACACATTTCCATTCTTTGTTTTTGATACTCTAACATGTTGGGACTTTGCTGATCCTCCCAGGCTAAAAACTGCATAGACAGAGAAAATGTGCATCTCCTAGCATAAAACCCAGCACACAGAAACAGCTTCATAAATACCTAATGCATACATGAATTAAAATCATAGTCCCTGTAAGACTAGCTAATTCCCAAAGAACAAATGACTCACTTGCTGAGTTTGCTTGTCTAAAAACCCAAGATCCAGAGCCCTTACCCCAACCACTTCTTTTATTGTGTTCTCAAACTCCCAGAAACTGTCCCTCTGCCCAGTCACTCCAGAGCCAAGTATGGGGCAACTGGGGACAACCCCCAAGCTCCAGAGACTGCTCACATATTAAAACTCACCCCTGACCCTGCCTTGCCTACTCCTTCCCTGAGAACCACAATGAAAGCTTTGCCTGTTTTTTGCCGTATCTCTCCCCACTGTCTGACCCTGTGGCCTCTGGTGCCCTAGGATGCCCCTCTGCTTGGGAATCTGCGAGTGTGACACTCTTCTGCGGCAGTTGTCTCTGATCTGTGGACCTCACCGTTCCTGAACAGGATACCTGAGGTATCCCGGAGGCCCCTCGCAGGTGGGGGCTTCAAGAACACAGAACTGGCTTTGGCTCAGTCTGGGCTGCGCCACATCATGGTGGATGGCAAGGGTGGAAAGGCAGGAAGGAGCAGGCAGTGATGACATCCCCAACTGGGGCGGAGGAGAGAATGGCCCCATGCCACAGTGACCCAAAGCCCTTCTGCTAGGCCCCACCTCAAAGTTCTACCGCCTCCCGACAGTGCCACCTGGGGACCAACTGTATTCAAACTTCAGCAAAAATAAAACTAGCACAGTGGTTCCTCATTCCTTCCCAACCAGGGTTTTGTGTCTGGGACACTTGAAGGCGGCAGAGCAAACCTTGTGTCAACACAGCGAGCAGGTATTTATTGGCTGGGGACTAGTTTCCAGGTACTATTCCAGGCACCAGGGTTACAGAGACAGAGAAAATATCCAAGTTCTTACAGCGTTTACATTCCAATGAGGGTACAGAGGTGATTCCCAAATAAACATCGGCTGTGTCAGATGCCTTAATGTGAAAGGACGGGAGGCACAGAGTTACAGGGATTGCATTTCTGCAGAGCAGGATGAGGAAGCTGACATTTGAGCAGAGACTTGTGGGCGCTGACAGGTACGATTGAGTTTGGCCACGTATTTGCATCTGGAAGAAGTGCTCACTTGTGGGGAGACAGTTTGGGGTTAGCCTCTGGGACATCTCAGAAGGTCCAAGAGTCCTCTGGAGTTGGACACTCTCCTCTTCCATCATTTCTGATGAAGCAGAAGGGAAAAGGGAAAAGGCAAAGTAAGATAAGAAAAAAGAAGACAGAAGTAACAGGAAGAAGAGGAGGAAGAGGAGGAGCCCTTTGAAACCACTTTAACCAGTATAATATCAGACTTTAGATATGATAAGTATCACATTTTAAAATAAAATGTATCAATTCTCACTTTTTAAAATAAAAACTTAGTCTTATCACGTTACCTCAGAAGTTCAATTTATAAGAGTTGAGTTAGATTTGGTTACAGTTTTGGTAAAACATTTAATGTTTTTGAAAAGCCTATCTGTTCAACTAAAAGGTGCATGTGGCACTGTGCTCATTGTTGCTGTTATTTTGTTGCTACACTTTGCAGAGTTGATTTCCTTATTGAGAACATGAATAAAATGAGCTACTTTGTGTTAACTCAGTACATTGGCCAGGTCTCTGCTGTTTCTTGGCCAGGAAACAGGAGGTATTGCCCAGAGCAGGCTGCATGAAACAAAATAGAACATAAGGCCAGACCATCCTCTAGATCCTGCAAATGGTGGAGGCAGCCTAGGAATATCCATGATAACTAAGATTCTGCTTGATTTGTATTTGATTACACGTGAAGCGCATATTTAAACAACGTTTAAAGAAGGAAATGTTTCAGGAGATGATTTAGACCTGAAGAAGCCCATTCTGATCATGAAGTGAGACTGGAAAGGAAGGAGAAATAGCTAATGATCTGCTGAGACCGTGACATGAATCTGAAAGGGTCTCCTTAAAAGCCTAGGAAGCAACTGATTCACCGCCCAGTGTCTGCAGGGTGCTGCAGATGATCCCCAACAGGAATGCAGGGTGTGTGAAATCTCAATTTTTAAATAGCTAAGTTCCTACCAGTAGTAACCCAGAGACTGTGGCAGGAATGGTGGTTAGACCCACGCAAGGAAAACAGCAAGGAGCAGAAGGGGAAGAGCCAGGAACTTGAAGAGCTGGGTGGGCAGGCAAGGCTTCCGCATCTCCCCCACTGCGCGCGTCCTCGTGGGCCTCAGTGTCCGGTCCCACTGGGTCAGGATGGCGTTCCTGGCTCCTGGCCACTTCCCTGGGCCCACCAGCCTGAACTGGTAGGGGCTGCAGGGGCCGAAGAAAACTTCCACGGCCAATCTGGGATCCGTGAGGAACAGCCACGGGATGCTGGGCTTCACCCCAATGAAGGAGGCGAGTTCGTCCATGTAAACGATGTAGTCCGTCTGTATGGTCTCGCTCTTGCCGAACCTAGAGGCAGGGGAGGAAACGCCCCCGTGGGTGACCAAAGCCAAGCCTTATTTAGAACAGGAACAGGGAGGGTCCCCGTCCTTTTCCCGGGGTACACCAGCGTCAATCTTTGATTGCTTGTTCAGCCTACACTGACGTTTTTTCATAGAACCTGCATACTGACCTCATTTGGAAATTCCCCCATGTTGCAGGGCAGCTGAGAAGGGCATTTTTTTATCCCCATTAGCAAACAGATAAATTGCTCTTTGCTCAAGGTAATCAGGGACAGAGCTGGGAGGGGGGCGTTGCCGTCCCATCCCCGTGTTGGTGAGTCGTTTCTATCAGGCATCTGAAGGGTCATCGCCGCCTTGAAGGGTGCCCGGGCCAGAGGACAGAACTCCACAGCTGGGAGCTCAGCGCCTTTGATTTCTGATCATCCCTGGGTCTCTTTTCTGGGAGGTATTACCAGAGACCCAGAGGGACACAACTGACCTTGACACGCAGATTCCCCACCTGCTAGTCACCTTGTGTCTATGTTTAACAGTAGATTTTCACTAGCTCTTCCCCGTGAGATGGACGTGGCTCCTAGCTGTCACCTGATGACCTCATTTAGGACCCTTTGAGACAAGGAGTCCCACAGATTCCCACACCCCTGGACCTCGTCAACAACAGGCGCTCTTACCATTTGAGCTTCTTCCCCATTTTCTCATCAATGTCACTCATCATGTCATTCCTGGAAGGCAAACTACAAGTTCCTGAGAGAGATGGAAAGAAAAGACAACAGGTGAACAACTCTCGTGTAGCCAGAGCCTCCCACTTTCCCTGGTTAACAAGTTAAAAGACACATTAATTATTCCCATTTTTTTTTCCAGTTTAGTAAAATAAATTGCTGAAGACATGAACAGGTGATTTCTGAGACAGACAACGATCCGCTTCCACTCCTCGTCTTCTCAGAACTGAGACACCTCAAAATAATTCAAAACCACCGTCTGATTAGCTTTATCTTTATTCTTAAACTGACTACCAGATGTTTTATATCAGGGATAATATTCTAATTTTTCAGTCATATTTTAAAGCCACACAGAGGTGAACTGGCAGGATGTTTTTTCAATATTTTTTTTTAAAAAACCAACCAAACAAAACTCCATAGGAAATAATTCTGCTTTGCTGGAAGAGGGAATTTCCAGCAAGTAAGATACAGAATTTAGGGAAGCCTCCAGGCTCCCATGGACCACCCACAGGTCTTTCTGAAAATAAAGGACATGTATTGTCCCCAAGTCATCAAGAACACAGAAGAGCCTCAGAAGACAAGATCTGACATGGAGCTGCTCACAAAGGTTGACAGAGTTCTCCGAAATAAGCCCGAATGGTTTCTGTCCAGAGACCCTTCCAATTTAGGATGGCCTCTTTGGCGATCTTGGAATCACTTTGGAAAGAATTAAGCTTAGGTCCGGTGGCTCAGGCCCCACCGGCACAGCTGCTCAGTGACCCCTTCTGTCACTCCTGAGAGGTGGGGTCACTGAGCAGCTGCTTCCACACCTGGGAACCCGTCTTGTCCTTGGGCAGGAAGAGATCTGGGAAGAAACCTACTGTGTTCGTGGTCCACCAGCTGCTGCCATTGGGCTGCTTCTTATTGGCCCTGATGTCCTGGTCCTCTGGTTCTCCCAAAAGAGGCTGCTGGCTTTATTTCCTATCTGTCCTAAGTCTGAGCGTTCCCTTTCTGTAGAGCCCAAGTTACAATTCCTGTCCTCACAGAGAGTGAGTGTCCTCCCTTCCTTAGGTTCCAGTCTCTCTGGGCCTGAGCCCTGGGTGGCACCAAGGGCAACCTCAAGCCATTGTCTTCCTGTCTGCTGCCTCCCCGAGCAACATCAGCCTCTGGGCAGCAGCACCCTCTGCCTGGGGTGGGGGAGTCAGGGAGTTGCAGGGAGATCACTGAGGGTGGGAGGCCTGGTGGTGAGCGGGGGCCAGGATGGGGAGAGGTAGCCTCCAAGTTCCTGTGAGTGGAAGAATCTTTAAACCCCATAAGCCGTGGTAGGACCGGGAGCCTCAGATATGGCTGTAAAAGGCAGCAGGCCACCCAGCCTTCCTCATCCAGAAATTTTATGGCTCAAGGTGCAACTCAACTTTATGCAATGAACTTTGACGTCCTTTGTTCCCCTCTAATCATGGGAGCCTACTTCGTCTTGTGATGTGCCTCTGCACACAACTGCAGAAGTTCCGCACATCTGACCCCAGGGCCCGCCACTGGAGGACACTGATGGCCTTAGCCCCCAGCCAGGTCGGTTGTGTCCTTTTTCTTTTTTCAATAACATAGAAAGTCAGTCCTCTTCTATCTTAGAAACGGACCCTGGGCCACACCTGGCACTCTCTGCCTCTGATCAAGCACTGCTTCTCCTTCATGGACACACAGAGGGAAGATGATGGTAGCAAACCTAGCACCAGGCTGACCATGGCCGTGGACACCTGAGCGGGCTGGATATGGGCTTGAAGCACCTTTTCCCATTAACCTTCCAAGCGATGTCATCCCACTGAATTTTGAAATCACTACTTTATGAAGCTGTCATGCACTTCAGATTAAGAACGCGGGTGTTCTTCATGAATGACCGCGGGTGACTATCAGCTGGAAGGAATCATAAGTGACACAAAGCTTCCCTAACCATCTCTTACTACTGCACAGCGTAGTCCCACGTGATAGAGTTCATTGGCTTATAAAACAGAGCACCGAAGAACATGGAGTCACAGATGCCCCAAACCAGATGGGATCCTTGTGATGAGGACCAGGGTTTTCTCAAGGACTCCATGACCTTGTCATGGGCACCCGTCCCTGGACTCTGGCTGCTTACCCTTTATGACTCGGGTTGCCCAGCGGGCCTGCAGGTCCGTAGTGGGGATGGCAGCCCCCAGGGACTGGACGAGGCCAATCACAGCCAAGGTGGACTTCTCCAGCTGAGGGGGGAAGATGCCTTTGTACAAGGTGACCTCGTTGTTCCTGCTTTTGATGATGGAGTCGTCAAGGAAGGGGTAGGCATAACCGTAGCCTGTGGCGAAGATGACGCAGTCGATGGCCTCAAACACCGTCCCGTCCTCAAACACGGCCGAGGTCTCTGTGAACTTCTTCACGTTAGGCTTGATGGAGACCCTGCCGCAGAGGATGTGGGCGGGGAGGTCATCATTGAACACGGGCTCCTTCCTCAGGGCTCTGCAGGACACGGAGACAAGCATCAGAACTGCAACATTCCCCCTGGGTCATACACTGGTTGACAGGGAAGGAGAACACCACCCAGGATATTTTTTCTGAGCTGTGGAGTCACCAACAGTTAAAAAAACAAAACCGCAGGGAGGCATCTTGGCTGACCCCGGATCTGTTTTCTCTGCGGCTCCCCTTCTCGCCCATCCCTCGCTCGTTCCCAATCCAAGCATGAACCCCACACCCAACCAGAACGAGGCGGTGTGCTTTGTAGCCCCTTCCCCCTAAATCGAGCTTTGCCTTTACAACAATTTCCCACCATTTGCCTTTTCTCCTTCTTTCAGAGCCCAAGTTACAATCCTATGCTCAAGAGGAGTGAGTGTCCCTCCCCTCCCTAATTCCAGCCTCTCTGGCCGGAGACCCGAGTGAAACCCGGTGAATACTCCTTTCCTTCTAGGGAAGAGTCCTAATGTGAGAGTGCCTGCTGCTTGTACTTTTTCTTTGCTACCTATTTATTACCTGTGAACCTGGATAAAATCAAGGGTTCTTAGATTCTCTGTGCCTCATTTTTCTTGTCTGGCACTAACACTCATACCTGCCTCAGGTGGCTGGGAGACCTGAATAACATGAAGAATTTTGCGGTCTCTAGCATGGGCTCCAGTGCTGAAAAACGTCAGCTGCTGCTCCTAGTGAACTCCAGCCTGGCCGTTGTAATACAAAGAAAGTCCAACAGGAGCAAGAAGGTAGAAGGTGGGTTAGTGCAGCTGGGCTGTCACAGAGGGACAAGGCCTGAGCTCCCCCAGGTGAGGGACAGGGCACCTAGGAATCAGCGCCTCCTTGCTCTCACACCCTTGATCCAGCCCAACAGAAGATCCTGTCTGGGTCTGCCTTGGGCTCCCTTGGAATCTGCCACTTCTGACCCCTCACTGCTGGCAAGCCATGTCCAAGCCGCCATCCTGTCATCTGGGTGTGACAGTAGTTCTGAACTTGTCCTTTACTGCTGCCGGCTCTGCCCTCTGCATGGGGTGGCGACCACAGCAGTGGAGTGACCTCCAGTGCCAACTTAGATCTCGTCCCTGACATGCTCAGATGCCTGTGGCTTCCTGTCACACTCCCCACAGTGCCCATTAGGTCCCACGGCTGGCTCCTCTGCAGCCTTTCTCCCCTTCCCAGGAGTCAGGTTGATCCTGTCACCAAGCCCCCAGGCAGCGGGCCATGCCCTCGCCTACACATCCCCAGGTCCATCCCTCACCTCCGAAGTCTCCCTCAAAGTCCTCTTCTGAGGCCCCCGCTGAGGACCCTGATGGAAACTGTCCTGAGGGCGCGGGCCACCGCCTTGCTGGCCCTTTCTTCTCATGGCAGCCCACCCATGAGGGCCGCTCTTTCTAGCTCGTCGGGTTCCTGTTACTTGTTGCTGTATCCACAGGACCTAACCGGGGACTGGCAGGTAACAAATGCCCAACTGATACTTACTGATTAATGAATTCACTCTGAGGTTTGGTTTTCACTCCACATCAGAGTCATTTCTTACCGTGAGATGGGCTTGGAGGAGTTAGAGGAGCCACTGAGAGGAAGCTCCAGATGTGGCCATAGTTCAGTGAGGGTGTGCAATGAGAGTGTCCCCGGGGAAAGCTCTCTTGCCTTGTTTGACTTTGCCACTCAGTGTGAGGCAGCCAGCACGTGGCCAAGGGGCTCTGGAGCCAGCAGATCTGGCTGTTTTGAATGCTACTTCTACTTGCTGGCTGAGGGACTTCGGTAAAGTTACAAACTGCATTGAACCTCAGTTTCCTTGTCTCTAAAATGGGGATGCTAATGGAGCTCTCTTCAGAGTTGTGTGGATAAAATGGGATAATACACGTTGGAGCCTAGCAGAGGCTTCAGAAGACTCTGACATGAATTAAGTACTTAAAACATTAAGTGCTATTATCATTATCGTAGGAACCGATTGCTTAAGCCTTGTGGGACTGTGCAGTCGAGTAAATCTGCTACGGAGGGTGGGTGGAAATCACTCCTAAGACTGGCAGCTCTTGATCCTCTGATGTATGAAATGTGATCACCACACCAATATTTTGATTTGCTTTGTGGTTACAACACACTTTCAGGGTGGTTGACACTGAAACAACTCAGCAGAAACACCACGTCCCGCTACGTTACCCGTTTAGAGGCATCAAGCCGTAGTTCTCGTGCTTGAACTTTGAGTTCATCTGCTTCATGTACCACCAGTCAGAGATGGCTGTGGGCAAGCTGTTCTTGAGGAACGTCTGAAAGCGCGTGATGAACACCATGTCCCAGGGGTAGCCATCGTCCCAGACCCGGCTCAGCACCCAGGAGCCACTTCTGGAGCTGACGACGACCTGCAAACACCAAGTCAACCATGAAAGCTGCACATTCACAGTGGACGATGCGATGTGCTTCCCCGTGTCCCCTGTCGGAACGGGATCATCACCCGGCTCCCCAGGTGCTGCTGCAGGAATCCCTCAGCGCCCAGCTCTCTTTGGGAGCTGCTTTGGCTGAAGTGATGGGTCTCCCTCGAGGTCTTGTGCCCTTCCTGAGTCCCCTGCAGGCAGTGACTGGCCCATGCAGGTGTAAAAGGCTCAGACCATCAGTCACCTCGACTTGGGAAAATCTCAAAGGGATCCCGAGAGCACTCCCGGGGCATTCACTGGAGCTAATTCCACCTGAGGTCAGCTGCCCTGCGGGTGGGTGCCGGCAAGTGCTCACGTTTTAACCCAGTCTTCCCTGGCTTAGGTGCCGGATAACGGAATTCCAGTCGTGCTTCCCTGACCACTGCCATCCTCAGACAAGCGAACCATGATCTAACAGCGGGTGTTTTGAACGAAAATGCCTGCCTCCGTCCTAAAAGAAGGAGGGAATTTGGAACTGGAAAGCCATAGGCTCAAATCCTGGCTTCCCGGTGTCAGCATGGGGAGGAGCAGTGCCTCCACACGGCATGTGTGCGAGGGCTGATTTAATGCTACCGCCTTCACAACGTGGCTAATAGCACTGAGCATGCGGCACCTGCTCAGGTTTTGTTCATCCCAAACAGTGTCGTTTTTTTTTTCTTTTCTTTTCTTTAAAAAAAAAACCAAAAAACATTTTTATATATAGTGTCATTTAAAGGCATTTCTTCTAAGGGAAGCTAGACAAATAGCAAAAGACTGAAGATCAATAAATTGAGAGCCTTGGAAATGGTCTTTATTCCCGGTCATCCATCATGGGGACAAACACAAATTCCACGGCACCGTGGTGGTTTCATCATACCTTTCCTTAGCTCAGGAGGCTTCAATATTTACCTTCCCTTGTGGATGATTTCTGATTATGTAGCCTGCTGTTGAAGTCCTTGAAAAGACATCGTCACCCGACCCCACCCTTTCTTTCCTGACTCAGTTCCTGCAGCTCCTCGGTTCTTGGCATCGGAAGACCAGAATTTCAGCTCCAGTCCTGTCGGGCCTCCACGAGGACGAGGGCAGTTCTGGTCCTCAGTCCCTTTCTGTAAATGGCAGGGTGAAGCGAGCTCCCGTCGTCCCACCCTCCCAGGACTCCTCTCCACGCAGGTGTTGAGCACCGTGTGCAGGACGCAGGTCGCCAGGGTGAGAGCCTCCATCCAGCTGGAGGAGTCTCAGCAGCCGAGCGCGTGGCTCCTCCCGTCTTCACGCCTCTGCTCCTGCCATGAGCGCACCAAGCACAGCGTCTGCCTCCTCCCCCGTGAGCCCATGATCTGTCCAGGACACGGGCTCTGGTCCGCCTGCTGTGAGGCCTCCAGCTCTGCAGTCACTTAGGCACTGGGTCCTGGCATCTGCCCTTTCCTCCAGTGGCAGCCCCTACACTGCGGTCACCCGCTCTGCTGAGCTCTTGCCGTCCTGTTGGATCCGCAAGCGTCGGTGAGCTAGATCTTAGATTCCTTGGAAGAGAGGCCGGGGGGCCGAGTTCCTGTGTTCCTCCCTGTGCCACGTAGTGTGGTAAACAGGCACACAGGACGTGTGTTCACTCCCTGTGTCCCGTCACTATCACCCCACTTCAGTGACCGCAGCACCTTGAGGTCAAGGTGGACATGTAGTGGATGGTCAGTGCATCTCTTGGGATGACCCATGTTGGGGACCTATGACATCTGGAGATGTGATTCCTATCTCTGGGATTCCGAGGGCCAACCCTTACAGAATCTGCCCAAGCTAGCAGGTGACATCTGTATGAGCTCATTCCCTGAGGACCCAGGTCACCATCTTCTCCATCTTCCCCCGCCTCTCCTCAGCTCGTCCTTCCCAAACCCCTGAGCTGCAGCCACAGGACGGTGAGACACTGAGCCCCTGGCTTGCAGACTTTCTGACATCCGCCTCTCTCTCAGCTTCTAGTTCTCAGGTCATCAGGTCCTTCCAGTTGCCCCAGGAAGTAGGCGTCCTGTCCTTGACTGATGGCCTGGTGACAGGCTGTCTCTTGATTTTCTAGTCCTTTCACAGCTTTAACTTGCACATTTGAGCATTTACTCATTCCACGTGTCTTTTTGCACTAGACGGAGTTCCATGTAAGGCCAATGTCTGCTGTTTCTCGCTCCCTCCAACACGCACCCCAGTGCCTGGCACCCAGGGGGCTTCCAACAGATACCTTCGGATGCAGCATGAGGAACCTGAGACCCAGAGGCAGTGAACGAGTTGCCCACGAGTCTCAGAGTCATGACCTTGACCCTGAATCCACTCCAGTTTTAGAGGAGTCAATCAGACAGATGTGAGGCACCAATGTGTTGAAGAAAGACCACTGGGCCAGGTGTGGTGGTGCACACCTGTAATCCCAGCAGCTCGGGAGGCTGAGGCAGGAGGACCATAAATTCAAAGTCAGCCTCAGCAAAAAGCAAGGCACTAAGCAACTCAGTGAGAGTCTGTGTAGCTAAATAAAATACAAAATAGGGCTGGGGATGTGGCTGGGTGCCCCTATGTTCGATCCCTGGTTGTCCCCACCACCCAAAAAAGAAAGATTGTTGGATGCCAGCATCACTCCTTGCCCCTGCCTGTCCCCTAGGAAGCTGGGCCTTGTGAAATACCTCTTAGCTTTCACCAGGTGCCCCCTCCCCATTGCAGACCCCACCTCTCAATGTCGTCATGTGCTTCTGTGCTGGCCCTGGTTGTGTGGGGCGGTACCTTTTCAGCCACGCGACTGAGCTCTATGGCAATGTCAGAGCCTGAGTTCCCCAGGCCAATCACCAGCACTCGCTTCCCCTTCCACAGGCCCGGGTCCTTGTACTCCCTGCTGTGGAAGCACTGGCCCCCGAAGAGCTCCAGACCTGCAAGACAAGTGGGAGACGTTTCTTTAACCAGGTGGGTAAAGCCACAGAAAGGAGGAATTCTAATGCTCCAAATGTATTAGATAGAGCAGGAAGGTCCTTTGACCTTGGCATTTTATTTGAAGAAAAAAGACACTTGGGTATGGGTAGAGCGTGTCCCCCAAAGGATTCTGTGCTGGGAGTCTGGTCCCCAATGTGGCGGGGTGAGAGGAGGTGGGACCCTCAAGAGGGGGGCCATGAAGGAGGAAATGTGACCCTGGGGGCGCTGCCCTTGGAAGGGGGTAGTGCTGGTCTGGTGGAGTGTTTACTTCCATGAGAGCAAGCCAGGCTCCCCAGTCCCTCTTGCTTCTGTCCCACCACGGAATCTACTCTTTTGGCAAATGGCTGCACCATTCCTGCGCTGTGTGATGGTGCAGCCAAGGGTCCCTTGCTAGAATGCTAGCACCATGACACTTGGATCTTCTAGCCGGAATCATGAGCCAAATGCATCTTTATTTGTTCATGTGTCCAAAGCCTCAAGTATTCTATTACAGCATCAGAAGTCACAGTAATACAGACATCATTAGTTTAATCCTTTTTGTCAAATTTGTAGATGGTGGCCTACGTTTCAGACTTACCTGGAAAGGAGTCTTTTGGTAGATTGGGGTATACATGATGTCCAGAACAGATCATAACAGCATCAAAGACAGCCGACTCTTTTTTACCGTTCTTTTCAGTTTCAACATCCCATTGGCCGGTAGTTGAGAAATCAGGACGCTTACTTATACTGGATACAAGTGTCTAAGAGAAATACAAAAAGAAAGCCTTCTTTTCTATGCTCACAGGTAGATTTGGAAGAAATAGTATGAAAAATACTCTTAATAGATAGTGGCTTAGGAAAAAAAATTCATTAGTAAGATTCATATTCAAAATTCAAAACTCTCTTCAAAGAAATCAAAACATGACATGTGGCGTGGGTGTGTGCTTTTTATTCTGGCACGGTTTGTAGTGTCCCACCAGTACTTTCTGCAGTGCAAGAAGGACACCCTTTGAGATATAACAGTGAGTTCAGTCAGAGTTCACAAGAGGCACAGGCCACACAGCAGCACCCTGGTAGCGAGTACTCTTTGCAACAGCAGCCGCAGCCTAACCTCTAGACATTTCACTGTTGATATTAGTGTTGTATTAAAGCGAGAGACATCGTCTGTATCCAGGACACACGTTTCTCCCAGGCTTTCTTAGGTGTCAGAGTTGCCTAGGAAGCTTGTAAAAGCACACGTCCACATCTCTGGTTCCGTGGGCCGAGCGAGAAGGTCTACACCTCCCCGGGCCTCCCAGGGGACGGGAGGCTGCTGGGACCGTGCCGAGCAGCTCCGGTCCCCGTCATCAGTGAGCCGTTAGTCATGGCTAAATGGCTGCCTGCTCCTTCTTTTTAAAAAAATCTTCCAATTCTTCTGGTTATATTGAAAGGATAATTTTTTTTATTTGGTATTAATTGTTCTTAGAGATTTTATTATGTAGTATTTCATACCTATGAGAGAACACACACATGTGTATGACACTCTACTTAAGTAAAATAATAAGACGGTCACATATGAACCCATCAGATCTTGTACATCATTCTTTAGAACCACATTATTTATTTATCTATCTACCTACTCATTTAGGCTACTGTAAATCATACCTGTTTGGGATCATCGTTTCTGTTTGCTGTTGGCTTACAGAAATGTAATTGATTTCTGTATGTTGAGTTTGTGGGCTACTTCCTTGCCTAACTTTTTTGTATTTCTACGAATTCTAATACTTTTGTAGATTCCTTTGGATTTAGTACACAGACGATCATATCATCTACAATAACGATGCTTTTCTTCCAAGTTGGGTCATTCCTTTTATTTTTCTTTATTTACTCCATTGTTTCTTAAATTTCAGATTATTGAAGAGAAGTAATAATAATTAGGAGTCCTCACCTTCTGGATTTTGAGGGAAATGTTTCTGTTTGCTCTTCAGCACAGAACTGTCCACTAGTGATATCATATGCACATCATATGTAATTTAAGAAATTTCCAGCAGTCTCATTTAAAAGTGAAAAAATGTATAATTTAACCTGAAATAGCCACTCCAGTAGAGTTTCAGTATGTATTCAAAATAAAATTTGTGAGTGAAGTAGTTCATATTTTTTCATAGCAAGGTGTTGGAATCCAGTGTGCGTTTTACACTTCAAACACATCTTTTTCCAGTGTGACTGGAGGCTGCCATATTGAACAGTGCAGACTGAAGACAATGATCATGGATATTTTCAGGGGTCAAGAAAAGTCCCTTCTAATCTTGGTTTGGTGTGAATTTTCTCCTTTTTTTTTTTAAAAAAAATATCTTTCTTTCAAACACAAATAGGTGTTGAGTTTAAGCTAATGCCTTTTTTGAATTTTTTAAACATGATTTTTTTCCTATGATAGGTTTTTATAGTGGATTACATCTTTATATTTTATAATATTAAAATCTTGCATCCTTAGACCAAACTCAATTCAATAAAGACTGTTGCTATCATTTTTGAAGGATTTTTGGATTGATTTTCTGGAGGGAGACTGGCCTATTTCGTATTTACATTTTCTGCATTTAATTTTTTTTTTTTTTTGAGAGAGAGAGAGAGAGAGAGAAAGAGATTTTTAAATATTTATTTTTTAGTTTTCGGTGGACACAACATCTTTATTTTATTTTTATGTGGTGCTGAGGATTGAACCCAGCACCCCACACATGCCAGGAGAGCGCCCTATCGCTTGAGCCACACCCCCAGCCCAATTTGATATATTTTTAAAATTTGTTTTTAATTAAAAATTTTTTTGGACCTTTATTTTATTTATTTAAATGTGATGCTGAGAATCAAACCCAGGGCTTCACACGTGCTACGCAAGCGCTCTACCACTGAGCCACAACCCCAGTCTTCTGCATTTGATATTAAGGTTATAATGTTATAGGTAAGTTTGGAAAACACATATTTTTAACTTCTGAAGGAATTTCTAAAATACTGAAATAATTTGTTCTGAAAGTACTCATTTATGGAACTGTCTTCTTACTTTCTTTATGGAAGATTTCTAGTTTCTGAGTCAAAAATTATAAATCACCAAAGACTTATCAGGCTTTCTACTTCTTCTTGAGTGAATTTTGGTATGTTAAAAAAGATTTTAAGGGGTTGGGGTTGTGGCTCAATAGTAGAGCACTCACCTAGCACATGTGAGGCACTGGGTTCTATCCTTAGCACCACATATAAATAAATAAAATAAAGGTATTGTGTCCACCTACAACTAAAAAACATTTTTAAAAAAGATTTTAAAGATTTAAACAAATTAAAATATTATTTAGCAAACACTTTTACAGTTTCTGGTTATATTTTTAAATTTTACCTATATCTATTCTGTCTTCTTTTTCTTTCTCAATGTTATTTGTTTGTCTTGGCTCATTTTTTTTCCAGCTATTTGTCTGTTGCTTATTTTATTAGACTTTTCAAAGGATGTACTTTCAATTTTGCTTTCTATTTAATTAATACTTTATTATCACTTTCATTCTATGTTCTTTGGGTTCATTATGTTTTTCTTCTATAAATTTCTTAAAATTCCTTAACTTATGACTTTTAAACCTTTCTCACTTTCTATTGCAAACATTTAAGTTTATAACTTCATGAAAGGATAGCTCAAGTACTAAGGCATACAGTCTAAATGTTCAGTTCTAGATATTTTAAAATTTTCATTAAATTTCTTCTTTGACCCATATGGTATTTAGAAAAATAGGGTTTTTTTTGTGTGTGTGTGTGACAGCAATTGAACACAGGGATGGATAACCACTCAGCCACATCCCCAACCCTTTTTATTTTTTATTTGAGACAGGGTCTCACTAAGTTGTGTAAAGCTGGCCTCAAGCTTACAATCCTCCCACCACAGCCTCCTGAATCACTGGGATTACAGGCATGCACCAGTGCACCTGACTAAGTCTTTAAATTTTAAATTTCTGGATATTTTGCATTGATTTATTTGTTATCAATTTCTGAGTTAGTGCCATTTTGGTCCAAGAATTTTATGTAGTCAAATATTTGTAAATTTCTCATGTGTTATAGACAATAAGTTATGTTCTCTGAATCTGGGATTGGAGAAGCCACCCAATTTAAAATGTTGTCAAATAGGAAAAGAGTACTTAAAAGAAAAATGGAACTTCTTCATCAGGCCCCCTAAGGTCAGCTATTTCTTACCTCAAATTGTATGTGTTTTAGAAGGCCCTTTTCTCTGGCAAATGAGGTGATGTATTCCTGGAGCTTGCGGTTGTGCATGAAGACGGGGAAGTCCTCAGGATAGGGGAAGTCTGGAAAGCACATCATCTCCTTGGAAGAGTTGGCAAAGACGGACGGGTAGATGCTCGCCCTGCCCTCCTCCACACGTTCCTGTGAGTGAAGGAATTGGTACCTGAGTGTTCTGATGGTATTCACAGCAGTTCTACACCATCACCCACAGGGAGACTCCGTAAGACCACACATAAGTCCACTTCACTCGAGCAAATCTTCCACAGAATGTGGAAGGACGTGCTTCTCTTCACATTTTCTTTGCTAAGGGAACTAGTTTCATTATGTCCTTTAGGAAATGTATAACTAGAATTGTTTTATCTCTTCAAGGCATTAAACATGGTGATGGATGTTTTCCAAATTTCAATCTTGAATGATTTCAATGTGTCACCTCGTGAGCATGAGTGGTCAGTTTATAAATGAGTGTTCAATGTATAACAGCAAACAGTGACAGGTGGTGGCCAACTATTTATAAGACATGTAAAGGTTAACACTTTAAAATCTAATCTTTTAAAAACTGAGCTTTCCACCATATATAAAGTATCTATTTTGAACCAAACACATTGCATTTATGGTACTTACGTAGGCAACCAAGTTTTAACTTTCGGAAATGAAAAAGTATCAGAATTGGTTCTACTAATTCTGAGAAGCTACAGAAAGAACCACCCTTCTAAAACCTTAGAGAGGACATGAAGTGATGATGAAGAAAGAAGAAGAACAGTAAGGAATGTCAGTGACGAGAAGATTGGGACCCCGCGTTGCGGTTCTCGTCTTGGCCACATGCTGGAATCAACTGGAGCACTTTACCAGAGTCTGCCCCACTCTGAGAGCATTGGCCAGGAGCTTTAAAAGCACCCAAGGAGCTGTTCAGCGAAGGCTGGCAGTCCCAGTACAGAGTGAGACAAACAGAAGTCAAAGGGCACTGTGCGAGACTCCTGCGACACACCTGATAGAGCTGGGAGCTCCACATGCAAGACAGTGACACGAGTGAAAGGCATCAAACGGAAAATCCATCTTAGGTTAAGAAGAGACGAACCTTAATACGGCTCTGTGGAGCCACCAAGGCACTCTGTGACCACGGCACAGCCGCAGTGCCTTTCTATCTCAGCAGCTCCCCCAACAATAAATCAGCAAACTGAATTTTGATGAAAGATCAACTGCAGATCTTCCTGTTGCTGGTTCGTAGTGACAAGTACCGAGCACTGGGAATCTCTAATTAGGGTTCATGCAACTCACAGCTGTTAGGACCCCCAGAATATGAATGTTTAGTACAAATTAGAATGTTGCACGCATGCCCAAAGCCAGCATGTCTGCAGCCTGGTAAGTAATTCAGTGAATTCAGGAAGTTCGACCGAAGCTATATCAATAAATTAGAGAATACACATCAAGGAATAAGTTGATACAACTTGAGCATCTCAACCTGGAAATGCAAAATCTGAGAAGCTTTCAAATCTGAAACTCTTCAAATGCCAACATAGACATTGCAGGTGGGAAATTCCACATTTGTGCTTACATGACGGGTTGCAGATGAAATACAGGAACAGTAAAATATTGCACAGAATTGCCTTTTCACTACATGTGTAAGGTGCACATTAGGAACAGATGAATTTTGTGTTTAGAGGCAGATCTCATCTCCAAGGCATCTCATTGTATATATGCAAGTATTCCAAACTCTGAAAAAAATCCACCCTAAAACCTTCTGATCCCAAACATTTCCAACAATAGACATTCCTCCTATTTGTGAACTAGAAAAGATACAGAGGAAGTTAAGAAAGGGTGAATATAGAGAAAAGAGCCCCATCCATGAAACTTCTTGCCTATTTCCTTGAAATTCACCGATACATTATTTGGAGAGCTCTGAGAAAGAAAGGCATTTCACTGAGACCTGTGGCCTGGTCGTAAAGCACCTTATTTTCTCTGTGCTCAAAGGATAGGGAATTATGCTATTTGGGTTTGAATCAGGTTTAGAAGAACTAGGTGGGCAGAGGAAAGTGCTCTAGGAAATAGCAGCAAATGTCAACTGTCTGCACCCTTAGTTTCTCACACTTAAGTGGCATCTGACACCTTCTGAAAGAAAAGACTGTTGAGAGATTGTAAAATGCGGACTTCAGAAATTAAAGGTAATGAAAATATAAAATGGATGGAATTTGGAAATACAACCTGGGTACAGGGGTGTGGCTGCAGAGTCCTGGGTGGCTGAGAAGCACTGCTGTTCCCACAGCATTTGTGATCTGTAACCCCCTGGTGGGGGTGAAAGAGTTAGGAACCCCTGAGTAAGTCACTCCATTTGTTTCTTGTGGCTACTGTAGTAAATTACCATCAGCGCGATGGCCTAAAGAACAGGTTTGGTTTTCCTGTAGTTCTGGAGGTCAGCAATCAGCATCTCTGGGCCCCAAAGTCAGCAGGGCCAGGCTAGTTTCCAGAAGCTCAGGAGAGGAGCCACTCCTTGCCCCTCAGAGCTCTGTGCACACCAGCGTTCCTTGTGTCCAGATGCCACTGTGTTCCCGGGCCTGTGCTTCCTCTGTGCATCTTCAAATATATATATAATATCTATCTATCTATCTATCTATCTATCTATCTATCTATCTATCTATCTATCTATCAAGGATTGAACCCAGGGATGCTTTACCACTGAACCACACCCCAGCCCTTTTTGTTTTTTATTTAAAGACAGGGTCTCACTAAGTTGCTTAAGGCCTCACTAAGTTGCTGGGGCTGGCTTCAAGCTCACAATCCTACTGCCTAAACCTCCCGAGCTGCTGGGATTGAGGTGTGTTCCACTGTGCCCGGATGCATCTCGATATTTTAAACTTAATCCCAGCACAAACATCCCTTTCTCTTATAAGGCAACTTCCACAGGCCCCAGGGATTAGGACGTTTGATGGGTACATTTGTGCTTATCTGCTGGTGGATTTCCATGATGGATGATGAGACGGGCAGCGCATTCACACTTATTTTGTCACACAGCTGTCTCATTGATTATGTGGTTTTACAAGGCCAAAGTCAGCACCTGAAACTCCTTAACTTTTAAATTCAAAAAAATATTTCAATTATACAGATTGATAGGGTGCAGTATGATGATTCAAAACATGGATACACTGTGTAATGACAAATCAAAGCAGTTAAAATTTCCATTTCTTTATACTTTTTTTTTTTAAATAGGATCTTGCAAAGTTTCCCAGACTGACCTCAAATACCTGAGTAGCCGGGATCATGGGCGTGCACCATAATGCCTGGCTTGACATTTTAAATGACCTTGTGACTGATGTGTAATAATGGTGCACATCCAGGGTGATATTTCAGTGTGCAGGTGTTATACATGCTGTTCAAGTCCGGGTGATGAACTTCCCGTCTCCTTGTCATTACTTTGTGTTTAGAGCCTTCAAGCTCTTCTCCACCAGTAACTCATAGATCTAGAATAGGGCACCGTGAGCTGTAGCTCCCACACTGTTCTGTAGAACACTAGAACTTATTACTTCTAATTGTGTGTGGGTGCCTATTGTCAAACTTCCTATGCTCCTCCCTGTTCCCCGCTCTTCCCAGCCTCCAGGAATCACTACATACATTATGGTTTTTTTTTTAAATATCCACAAATGAGAAAGAACAGCAGAATTTGTCTGTGTCTGATGACTTCACTTAATATAATGTCCTCTGGTTCCATACATTTTGCTGCAAATGAGAGGCTATCATTCTTTATAAGGCTGAATAATGTTCCACTAGGTATATATACAGCACATTTTCTTTCCCCATTCACCTGCTATCAGACACCTAGGCTGGTTCCCCTATACCAGTGTCTTGAAGTGTTTTTGTGTGTTTTCTTCTCGTACTTTTATGGTGCTAGGTCTTACAGGTTAGGTCTTTGATCCACTTTGAGTTTAACTTTCAAAGGGCAAGAGGGGTCAAGTTTCAACATTCTGCATGTGAATACCAGTTTTCAAAACACCTTTTACTAAAGAAGCTGTCCCTTTTCCAACCAATAACGAGGTTGCTGAGAAAGAAATCATGAGAGGAGTCTCATTTACAACAACAACAACCTATGTATAATTTTTTTAAAACATTTTTTTTTAGTTGTAGATGGACACAATATCTTTGTTTTATTTATTTATTTTTTTAATGTGGTGCTGAGGATCAAACCCAGTGCCTCACACATGCCAGGCAAGTGCTCAACCACTGAGCTACAACCCCAAGACCTCTTCAATCAAAATGGCACAGTCTCATGAAAGAAATTAAACAGGACTTCTCAAAAATAGGAAGACCTCCCATGTTCATGGATGGAAAGAATTAAATGTTAAAATGTCCATACTACCCAAAGCAATTTACAAATTCAGTGAAATCCACATCAACATACCAATGTCATCCCTCACAGAACCAGAGACAATAATCTAAAATCCACAGGGAAGTGCAGGAGACCTTGAGTGGCCCCGCCCCAATCTTGAGCAAAAAGAACAAAGCTGGAAGGGTCCCGTCACCAACTTCAAAGTACACTACAAAGCTGCAGCGTCACCGAGACCATGGCATTGGCATGACTACAGACTCAACCAAGGGAACAGGACAGAGCGCCCGGAAATGACCCCAGCCCCACAGCCAAACAATGCTCGGCAGAGGTGACCAGCCAAGAGCAAAGGCACCCGAAACTTTAAAGTCTGTGGACAGAATCACTAGGAGGACCTTTGGTAGCTTCGGGTTTTCTAAATGAGTGAAATACTTATATGCGTGTATAATATAAACCTAACCAATATTTGACCCTGGATTTCATATCCAAATGGCGGTTATTAATGATTTACCCAGAGGTGAGTTCTGGCTCACAAGGCCAACTTCCAAAGGTAGCCTGTTGCCTAGGTGACCTCTAACTTGCCAGGAGTTTGCTTCCCAGCCTGACCTAGTTTGGGGATTCCAGTAGGGGTTTTAACTACCAGGTGGCCAGTTCGGAAGCCGTGTTGGACAGTGTGCTGCTCACCTCCCCTCTGCGCGCCGGCCTCCTGCACCCTGCCCACTCACCGAGAACTTCCACAGGCCGCCCACGTCATCGCTCCTCTCGAAGCAGATGGGCTCCAGCCCCTCCTCCAGACAGCTCCTGATGGCAGCCAAGCCACTGACACCGGCTCCAACGATGGCCACTCTCCGCCCCATGGCTGCCTGGGCAAAGGACATTGATTGCATCAGTATTCCCGAAAACGTATTTTTTTGTGTTGCTTTTTGGCATAATAAAAATCTTTCCTTTTGCACCCAAGAAAACAGTATGAAAAAAAAAAAGACTTCAGAACTCTGGTTAGTAATCAAACTATATTCTGTATGTCTCTAATTTCCAGAGAAAATGTTCTCTTCCAAGACATGAAACACTTTTTTAGTCTAATCTCCAAAACTGAGAGACTGATGATCCATCATATATATATAATTTATATACAGATAATTTATCTTTTTTTGTGTTTGGCCTTTTGTCATTCACTCTTACCAAAGAGAATGAGCAGAAGAAAGGAAAGGAGAGTCACAATTAAGCCACACACCCAGCACCCAGCCACCTCCTGTGCATGAAGGCCTGAGTGAAGAAACCAGTATTTATGTGTGTGCGCGTGCGGCCACCCTCAGTACCGTGGAGAGTGGTTTCCAGGCCTCCACCCCACCCTGGACACCCCAATCTGCAGATTCTCAAGTCCCTTATGTGAAATGGCCTAGTATTTGTATCTAATCCATGCACATCCTCCTGGATACTTTAAATCATTGATGTTACTATTAATATCTGACATTACACAAGTGCTATGTGTATCACTGTGCCCCGTATTGTTTAAGGAATAAAGACAAGAAAAAAGCCTTGTGTGTGTTGGGACCAGATCTAGCCATCAGAGGACCACCCATCCATGGTTGGATGAATCCTCAGGTGTGGAACCTGCAGACGCAGGGGCCAGCTCCACACACACACACACGCACACACACACTCACACTCACACCTGCCTTCTCATTCTCCTTGACGTAGACTGGGGGGTTTACATCTCCACATGCCATGGAGCCAGCCCCTTCCTTCTAAAAACTTACACTTCCCAGCCTTCCCTGTTCCTGAGACTATCGTTAGACTCCACTACTACTTTTCTCTCTATTTCTTACTTAGTTTCTAGATAGAGCCACCAAAGTGTATAAAAACAAAACCCAGCATCTGCCTGGACCGGATGTCGTTCTCCTCCCAGCCACACATCGGCTAAACCCCCAGCTGTGCCCCTTCACGTACCAAGCTCCCGTTCAGCCCTTCACAGCACCAGCCCTTTCCTCCTCTCACCTTTTCTCTGTTTGACTTGTAGGTCCAAGTCCTGTCTGTCCTGGGCGATTTTTAAGAGCAAATGCTCCACTGGACTCGGATTCTGGAGGGGTTATTGGAAAAGGGAGGAGCTGTTCTTAAAGAGGTAGGGATTTCCTTGATCCTCTAAAAACAAGCACACCCCATCCTGTGACCTGTGGGGCGTAGGGCCTGTCTCTGGTCTCCCGGCCCCACATTCCTGTGAGTCCTGGTGAACACCAGCTAGGGGAGTGCCCCAGGCGCCTGGCTCCAGGAGTCAGCCTGTTCCTCCCTCCCAGGTGGTTTGTCATTGTCCCCTCAAATCCCATAATGTGGGGTTTCAAAGCTCACTTTTTTTTTAAGAGAGAGAAAGAGGGAGAATGTTTTAATATCTTTATTTTATGTTTATATGGTGCTGAGAGTCGAACCCAGTGCCCTGCGCAGGCGCACTACCACTTGAGCCACCCCCCCCCAGCCCTCAAAGCCCACTTCCTTTTCCTTGTTCCTAGTTCCTCAGTGGGGTGCTCACAGTAGCCCATCAAAGGCCGTGGGAAGTTAGGCTCTGAGCTGAGAGAGCCAGCAGCCAAGGTGGCTTTTCTTAGATTGGAAGTCACAGGGACAAGTGGGGCCAAACTTGGCCACCGGTTAACTAGGCTTCAGAAGAAGCACAATGTCCAAGGGAACCATTGCTCAGGGCTTTTGAGGATCTTCTGAGAAGTGAGCAGACTTACAAGCTTCAGACTAAGAGCTTGCAACTGGGTCTTGGAAGAATTTTATGGGAATCTCCAAATGAAAATTGAGGATGCCTCTTGCAATTCAATTTGCCCCTATAGTGCTCCCTCCAGTGGACAGAGGTATTCACTGCAATCCTGTTCCCCCCAGGTGGGAGGCCTGGTGGGGACAGCCCCTTTCCAACTGTTGACTTACCTGCTTACTTAGAGGTGAACCTCAACCAGCTGCCACAGTGACCAAGAGAGATGTAAAATGAAGGTTTAAAGGTTAAACAAATAAATAAACCAAGGCCCCAAATTTGTGAATAACAATAGATGTGCGTTAGTCTGAGTGTTGTGTACATTACCATCAAGACGAGTTTGCTCTAAGAAAGGCTCTTGAGTTCTGCTGTATGAGGTCATTGATTTCCCAAAACGGGTGTTCTTATTCAGACATATGTACCTGAATAGGAGAACAAAGTAGAATTTATATTTCCAGGTGCATTTCACGCCTAAGGGGTATTGTTGAAGGGTAAATATGGAAAGAATTTTTTTTTTCTTAAAAAGAAAATGTTTGCCACTTTGCAGACACAAAATTATCCTGAGAAGGAATTTAAAGTGACTTATGCTCAACCCTGGACTGCCATGGGTCTGGGATTTTATGGTTAAAACTGGGGGGGGGTGTTCTTGAGGGGTCAGGAAGTCAAAGGCATTGAACCAGATTCTTCAGAGAGCCATAGAGAAGGAGCTAGAAAGGCCTCGTTGGAGAGGTAGGAGAGTCCCAAATAGGAGAAAATCCCGGGATTCAGAGGGAGAGGCAGACAGCGCCAAACAGACTGTGAGTGAAGGGAGAAGGCCTGGGAACTAATGCTGTTGAGGAAAACATAACCAGCGTTTACTGGTTCATATTGATATAATACTTGACTATACTGTTCTGGGTAAAAGGTACCAGGAGTCAGCCTCGCCTTCTGAGGATCTGATGAGGATAATGGTCAGAAGCCTGTGTGCACTACACACAGCAGCTACCTTCACGGAATGGAAACCACTAGAATCTGAAGAGAACCCCATTAGAAGACTCATTCCAAGTCATAGTGGAAATTTTCAAAATGGCTTTCAGGGTTGTTCTGCTTGAGTGAACACATGTACTGAACCTGAGCATCACACCATCAGCAGATGGGACTAAATACAATACATATTTTTTTAATGATATGTATGTGAATGCCTTATGTTCTTGAAAGAGAGTCCATGTGTTTAAAAGGTATTTGTCAAGCATTTACAAAGCTTGACTGGGTAATTAACCTGTCAGAGGGTTCTCTAGAGGAACAAAACCCACAGGAGTTACAGATCCGTGATTATCCAAAGGGGATTTATTTGATTGGCCTCCAGGATCAGAAGCTGGATAGACCCGGTGCCCATCTACGGGGTGGAGAACTGGAGGAACCGGTCACTGCTCAGTCCAAGAAGCTGGAGGCTCAGAACAAGAGGGACCATGATGTAGCCGCAGTCCAGGATGGACGGGAGCTCCCTGGAGAGTCACTGGCCAGAGTCTGCTGGGGAACAGTGAAGGAGCAGGACTCTCTCGATCTTCACCTTCCATTCCCTCCAGGCCCCCAGCCCGTTGACTGTGCTGCCCTCATTTAGGATGGGCCCCCCTCTCGGTGTGCTGTCCCACAGGCCCATAATTCCTGGGGACATCCTCACCCACACACCCAGCAGCCTCTTAATTCAGGCATCTCTCGATCTCATCAAGTTGACAATTCAGATGAACCAGGACAACCTCAAGCGAAACCTTACCAACATTTTTTAAGTAATTTTTACAGGATTTATCATCTGTTAGTAATCCAATAAGTGCATCTTTAAGTTATTCAAAGAGTTATATTTATGAAAAGTTGCGACATCGGCTGTTTGCTCAGTGAGTGTACTTTCCACCTGAGCCACCTCCGTGTGAGTCCCCAGGAAGAGAAGGCCTGGCACTCCAGGGTAATAGAGGTGAACACAAACGCCAGGTGTGCAGTAACCACCTCTGTGCTTTGATCAAGAGCTGCTACTGAGCTCCTGCCACAATCACTGTCCAGGGTGGAGAAACAGACAGGTGGACAGTGACTGCACAGTTGGATGTAAAATAAAGACCCGATCAAAACCTACCTACTTGACTTGCTAAGACATCAGTTTTGTCTCTAAAGGGAGATTGATTACATCAGCAAGTAGAAATACACACATTCCATTTTAGCTGGAATAATCTAGTTATCAAACTGTGTCCAAAATAATTCTGCTCTGATCGCACAATTTTCTGTACCCGGACCCACGACGTTGGCATGTCAGGCGGTTGTAAATTATTCTGCATATTTTTTCCTACCAATGATGATAACAGCTTTGGGGTGTCCTGCTCTAGAACAGACTGGCTTCTGTATCCGTGCAGTAGTAAAGTCTGGAGCAAGTGCTAGGGAGAGAATGTGGAGTGGCTGGCTGCTTTTCCTGTGGTGGTCTTCCTCTGGTTGCTGTGGTACCGAGACCAGTGTCTACACCACTGGACTGGGATCCACTGTTAAATCTGCAGCTGTTCATTGATGAAAACTGATATGAATCCAGTCCTGTCAAACTTTCTCGTACCTCCTCATAGAGCAGCATCGATTTCCTTAATTTTTTTTCAAGCTTTATTGAAGGACAGCCAACAAATAAGTGTATATATTGAAGATGTACAACACTTCTTATTTTCTCCATTTTAAGGTGTGCAGCGTCTCTTGTTTCTCTGTGGCTGAGAATTAAATAGCATGAGTTTGTGGAAATGCTCATACCGTGGAAGATGGTCAACACAATCTGAGTGATTAGCCTCACCTATTGTTACTTGTGTGTGTGTGTGGGGGGGTGAGGGCACTTAAGACCGCCTCCTTTAGCAGATGTCAAGTACATAATACGGCATTATTCACTACAGTTGTGCTGCCATAGCAAACTGACAATGAGTGATTTTTAAAAAAATTTTATCTAATTTTATTTTTTTTATTGGTTGTTCACAACATTACAAAGCTCTTGACATATCATATTTCATACATTAGAATCAAGTGGGTTATGAACTCCCATTTTTACCCCAAATACAGATTGCAGAATCACATCGGTTACACATCCACATTTTTACATACTGCCATATTAGTGACTGTTGTATTCTGCTGCCTTTCCTATCCTCTACTATCAATGTCTTCTTTGATATAATGAGAGCAACTAAGAACAGAGCAGGGAGGAAGAGCAGGAAGAAAAGATTAACATTAAACAGAGACATGAGATGGGAGGGAAAGGGAGAGAAAAGGGAAATTGCATGGAAATGGAGGGAGACCCTCATTGTTATACAAAATTACATATAAGAGGTTGTGAGGGGAATGGGATAATAAACATGGAGGGAAATGAATTACAATGAGTGATTTTTAAACAAGTTTTGGTTTTGCTTTTCCTCCTGGTTCTGGAGGCTTGGAAGGTTCCAGGTCCAAGTGCTGGCAGGTGCAGGGGCTGCAGAGGGCCTGTACCCGCCAAGTTGCCACCACGAGGTGCCTTACATGGTGGAAGAGATGAAGGGCAAAGAACAGGCCTTGCTGATTCCTCCAGTCCTTTATAAACGTTTTTAAAAATCGTTAAAAAGATTGTACCTATCATGGAGTAGAGTGCGGTGCTTAAATACATATGTACATTGTGCATGATCATAATCAAATCACTGTATTTTTCATCCACCTCCTCATACATTTATCATTTTAAAAGTCCTCTTTTCTAGCTATTTTGGATATTAATAGCAATATTGATAACCACAGCTACCCTACTGTACAGAGGGCTATCAGAACTTATTTCTCCTGTCTTCCTGTGACTGTGTACCCATCGACCAGTCTCCCTTCCTGGCCTCTCACTCACATATCTGCTCTCTACCTCCATGAGATCAACATCTTTTCATTTCACAGGTTTTGCTTCTAAGTGAGCTCATGTGGAATTGGGCTTTCTGTGCCTGGCTTATTTCAACATAGATTGCTCCAGGTCATCCATGTTGCCACAAGCAATCGGGTTTCATTCACCCTTCACGGTTTGCAGTGGCTGAGTTCTCTTCTATGGTGTACACACACAGCACGGCCCTTTCTGTCCACATTCCCTGATGACAGACACCTGGGCTGGTTCTTTCTCTTGGCTATTGTGCACAGTGCTACACTGAGTGTGGGAGACACATCTTGACATCTTGATTTCTTGCCTTTGGGAATACACCAAGTGGTATTATGGAAAACAGTATGGTGATGGCTGGACCTTACGGGTGCTAGTTTTCATATTTTGAGGAATCTCATACTGTTTTCCGTAATACTTGCTACTGACTGGACAGGGCTTGAGGGTGTCCCCCAGTGCTTCATGGGTTGGCAGCTTGGTCCTCAGTGTGACAAAGTTGACAGGTGACAAATCACTGTAAGTGCTGTCCTCAGAAGGAATTTGCATAGTTCTTATAGGACTCTGGCTAGTTCTCAC